ACCCTTCTCCCCATTTTACCTATGAGAAAACTGAGACCCAGAGAGATTAACTGAGTTGCCCACCATAGCAAGAAGTGGTGCACGAACCCAGTTCTTCTGATTTCAAATCATGCACTTTTTCCAGTGCTAAAAATAAATAAATAAATAAATAAATAAAAGCAGGAGATCTGAGACCCAGGGATGGCCACAACATTCTATACTGTGACCTAGGCCTGGCTACCGCCCTATAGCCACCTATCCTGCACTCTGCTTCCTGAATTGTGAGCCTCTGTTGCTCACTGAGGGAACAGCCCCATTTCCTTTCTTTCTAACCACTCAGCGGTCGGTGCTCGCCTTAGTATCTCCCCCTATCACTAACCCTCTCCCCCGGCTATCTCCTTTCTCATCTCTCCTCCCCACTCAGCTGGTGATGTACACCCTGGGACCCTCAGAGCCAGAGGTGACTTAGAGATCATTGAGTCAGGCCCCCTCGTTTCATAAAGAAGCTGGCTTCTTTTTTCAGTAAAACAAGAACACAAAACACTGCACATTTTAAAATCAGTGCCTAGCCTAGAGATCCAAATCTTTCCATACTTCTTTCTTCTCCTTATCCAGAAGCCAAAGTGAGATGGAAACCGAGGGACTGAAGATCCTGACCAAGCTCTTCAGGAGCGGGCTGGGAGGACTGACTGTCCTCAGCAGAGCAGTGCTGTGGGGTTTGCCTCCGCCCAGCCTGGGCTGTGTCTGTGGGGCAGAAGGGGCCTACCTACATAGTGTCATTTAAGCGGTATAGGATGAACCCTTCCTACTCCGACCAACTCCAACTCCTCCGCCTGCCAGCCAGAAATCACAGAATTAGAATTTCATTCCTTTTGATCAACTCAGAGGATCTGGTTTCAAATCTACTCCTGTGTGCCTTTGAGCACAAATTTAATTTCCCTGGCCTCTAGATGTGGGGGGAGGAGCGGTTGGGAGGGAGTCTACAGAAAGGGAGAATATAAGGGAGTTCTGACAAGAAAAGCAGGAAGAAAGAAAATATAAATGTCAGTGCCTTCACAACTGGGGGTAGAGCTAGAATAACTGGGGAGGGCCACAGGGAACCTCTCAGCCCCCACCTCCTGGCCTCATGACACCTCTGTACTAGTGAGCCTAGAGACACCACAATAGGCTTGGGAGGGGGCGGGGAGGGGGGCTGCCTCTTACGACATCCCCTTTCCGCTCTCCCTAGGCCTCCTCTGCGCAGAGGGGTGCAGGCCTTGAAGTCTCTCTCCTTCAGGGCTGAAGCTGCAAGCGTGGTGACTCATACCACCTTCTTTTTCATCTTCTTCAACAACTGCCGAAGTGCTATCTTCCTGCCTCGGGCTTGGCTTTCTTTCTACTTAACTGAGGAGCAATGTCTTCATGCCCTCACCAGCAGAATTACTCACCGAGTAGCTGGAAGAGAAGACAGGGTGCACAAGGACTCTTAGAGGGGCCTTCAGACCCCACCCGGTTCAATCTTCTCCATAATATGGGACAAGTGACAGCTGTCACCAGGCCTTTTACTGTTCTGGTTGTCAGCTTGTCATTAAATCCTAAAGTGTGGTACTCAGAATGAGATACGGTGTTCTAGGTATGGCCTAAACCAAGTTCTAGAGTTCCCTGAAGTCTCTCCTTCCTCACCTACTCTTAGAGTTATAGACCCTGTGCTGGAGATGTGGGTCCTCTACTTGAGATGTGGATTCCATATTTTCAGCACCTAGTATAGTGACTGGCACATAGTAGGTACTTAATACTTGTTGAATGAATGAATAAGTGAATGACTTCTCTCATTTCCTTTGGGCACTCCGTTGATGTGACTAAGATGGCAGATAAGACTTTGGGAATGGGGTTCCTGGTATTTTTTTTTTCAGCCTAGACCTCATCTCTTTGTTTTTCTTATCTTACTTTCTTCCTAACCCTATCTCTAGTACCCTGAGAATAGTAGTAGCTGTCCTCTAGGGACCCAACTTGCCAATTTGAGCAGAAATTGGGGAATGTTGCTATTTCTTTTTTTTCTTCTTCTGCTGCTGCTCCTTCTCCTCCTCCTCCTCCTTCTTCTTCCTCCTCCTCCTCTTCTTCTTCTTCTTCTTCTTCTTCTTCTTCTTCTTCTTCTTCTCCTTGGCCATCTTTTGTTTCAATTCTTACTTAGCCCTTAATCATTAAATGGTTGTGGCCTTAGACAAACCGAGACCTGGGAAAGACCTTAATTTAGAAAGGCCAAGGTCACCCACTGCATCCTGGGCCATCCCCAGTCCTCTTCACTTTTGTCTTGCCAATAGATTTTGATGCCTCTGGTGGAGAGAGTGAGGCTGATGACTTTGTGTAGCTCTGTCTCACTTCAAGTCAATTCACAACAAATCAAGACATCACTCCATGATGTCACTGGTCCTCTTCAAGAGCAAAAGATGAACAGCACCTTTTCAGCCTTATTGCATATTAATCTCCTTACCTACACTCTCCAGTTTACTGGAACTATCTTCTTGCGGAAGCTAGGTGGTTCAGTAGATAGAATGTCTGGCCTGGAGTCAGAAAGACTCAGTTTTATAGTTCTATCTCCCTGAATTCAAATCCGGCCTCAGACATTTACTAGCTGTGTGGCCCTGGGCAAGTCATTTAACCCTGTTTGCCTTGGTTTCCTCACCTGTAAAATGAGCTGGAGAAGGAAATGTCAATCCACTCCAGTATCTTTGCTAAGAAAACCCCAAAAGGGGTCATGAAGAGTCCAATGCAACTGAAAATGACTAAACAACAAAAACCCATCTTCTCTGCTGCTACCTGCTCCACACCACCAGGCATTGCCTGTGACCTGCATGCAAAGTAATCCTTGGCTTTGCCATGTGACCTGTAACTAAAATGTTAGGATTTTAGGATCCTTCCATTTGCCCTGTAGGTGAACCTTCCCGTATATGTTGTCTCCTTCAATTAGAATGTGAACTTCTTAAGACTGAGATGTCTTTGCTTTTCTATTTGTTTCTCCAATATTTAGTCGAGTGCTTTGCATACAGTGAGTGCTTAATAAATGCTTTTTCACTCATTCAAGCGCTATATAGTCCTGGCAAACTGGCCTTGTTGTTTCTCCCATTGCCACACCTTTGCATTTGATGTTCCCCACACCCCTCTTCTGACCTCTGCCTTTTAGAATTCGACAGCTCAAATGCCACCTTTTGCATGAAACCTTGCTTGAATCCCAGGGCCTCTAGTGTCTTCCCCCCAAAGTTACCTTGGATTTATTGTGAAAGTTTCTATAGACTTATACATGTCCATGTTGCCTTCCCCAGCCTCCTTGTGGGCAGGGATTCTGTCACTTTTTTTCTTTGTATCCCAGTCCCCAGTTCAGTGCAAGGCACAAAGAAGGAATACGTTAAATGTTTATTGATTGATTCCTTCCTCACTTCTTGCTTACTAAAGTTTTGCTGTTGTTTAGTTATTTTTGAGTCACATCTGACTCTCTATGACCCCATTTGAGGTTTCTTGGCAAAGATACTGGAGTGATTTACCATTTCCTTCTCTAGCTCATTTTAAAGGTGAGGAAACTGAGGCAAACAAGGTTAAGTGACTTGCCCCGGGTCATACAGCTAGTAAGAGTCTGAGGCCCGATTTGAACTCAGGAAGGTGAATCTTCCCGACTCCAGGCTTGGCATTTTATCCATTGTTCTACCTGCCCCCGACTAAAGCTTAGGGTTATTGATAATAAAGCCAGAAAATCTGAAGAAAGCACTAGAAACTGAGAGGTTCTAAATTCTAGTCTTGATCCCTTTCCCCTGGTGCTTCTTCATATATTCCTGGATAAGTTTCTTAAATCTCTTTGTTTCTCCATATGGAAAATAGATTCACTGGTTCTAACATCTTTCCTGCTCAAGGTCATGTTTGGTAAGAGTTCTAACACCATTCCTACCATTCTTTCATGGTGACACAGTGGAAGAAGTTTCACTCTTCATGACCTAATCAACATTGTATTCCTAGGCTTGTCCTTTATCATGTGGTTCACTTCCTTTGCATCTATCTCTTTAATAAACACCGTCACAAAAACCTCACAGGTCTGAACTGAAACCCACAGGTTTTGTTTTTGTTTTTAGCTTGGATTTGACTCCAAAAGTTTAGGACTTTTCTCCCCTCCTGGGTCGAACTCCTCTTTCAGGTCTGGTTGACTTGTCTATTTTCCTTCAGTCCCCACCCCATCTATACCAGGATTTTAATCTATACTTGCTCATCCTCAAGGAAGGGTCATCTATTCTGATTCTCTCAATTTAAACAAGATCAACTAAGGTTCCATATCTAGGTCTCCTGTCTCTCAGTCTATTGTTATTCAATATGGAATATAAAAAGGGGAAAAATAAAACAGGGGTTCTATTTTAAGTTCACCCCTGTGAATAGCAGCCAAACTGTGAATATGGTTCAAGTGAACCTTTGTTCATACCTTTCTTTCACCTCTTACTTTTAAAAGAGGTACGGTGGAAAGAGTGATGGGTTTGGAATTAAAGGACCCAAATTAAAATTTTGGCTTATTTGGGCAAGTCATTTGACCTTTCTGGGCCTTAATTTCCCAAAATGAAAATGACTTTTTCAGTTGTTTCCAGTTCTAAATTTGACCTTGGTTACCCAACACAATGTTTCATTTCCAGTTACTAACCCTATTCCTAGACATTCTGTTATCTCTCCCATTCCTAAAGGATGGCTCAGGGAACTAGGTATCATCCCCTCAGGCCACCTTAGGGTTTGATTATCCCTAAAATAACTTGGGCTTTGATAGACCATAAATCTGATCATCATCAACTAAATGGGCTGATGGAAGATGTTTCATCTTTCAGAGAAGTTGACTATCTGAGGTCAGGCCTGAACACCAGCCATTCCTTCCTCTTCAATAGTCCAGTCATCCCCCTCATTTCAGAAAGAAGTATATAAGCCTTATGGTTGATAATGGTTTAAAATGGCTTCCCCTCATCTTAATTCAAAATGGGTCACTTGATAAGAGATATTTCATAAGAAATAAAAGTACTTACGGTACTCGGAGCTTGGGAAATTTCTGAACATCATTCTCAGACAGGTTCTGAAACAAAAATGCAAATGGCATATTATTGGTCAAGAATAGAGACATTAGGGGCCTTTACCCTTTCACCAGGTCTGGTAGATTAGGTTGCAGTGGAATCACTCCTGAGAAGGAATTAGGATCTGTCTGTCATTGTCTCTTCCTCCTTCCCATCAAAGAAACCTCCAATCCCATATTTATTTGAGTATTCAAGTTTATCTAGTATTCCCCTTATAGTTTTTTGGAAGAGACCCAAGGCTCCTTATCATCTATATGATTTTTCATCTGTCAGATAAGCTCTTTTGCCAATGGCAGCAATGTTAAACCTTTGAAGGCTGGGCAAGAGTGTCTGAAGAGGACATACGATCATTGATGGGATAGAAATTATCTCAGAGGCATCCAGTCCAACCTTCTCTTTTGTTGATGAGAAAACAGAGAACCCAAAGAAAGGATGTGACTTTCCCAAGGAGACATATATAAAATGTTGCACAGCCGATTTTTATCCAGTTCCTGTGCCTCCAAACCCTGCGTTCTTTCTCCAGCCTCTGCTGTCACTGTTCAATCTTTTTTGTGGAGAGTAAATGGAAGAACATTCAATCACTTAAATTTCTCACTTCTTCAACCACTTCTACCAATTATTCAAAGACTGTGAGAGGGGCAACTGCTAGTCACAATATTTAATATCAGTCTAGCCTTATTTTCATCTGGTGCTTTCTTTTTCCTCTACTGCCTCATTTAAATCTCTTGGGAGTCCTGTGAATTAGGCAGATACTATACATTCCGTCTTACAGAAGAACAAAATGAGGGTAAAGGAGACTGAGGAACTGGCCTGAAGTCATGGACATAATGAGCTGGAAGAACCAGCACTCCCATCTAGGACTTTTGTTTCCTTGTCCATTCATTATTCATTATGCTTGTACCCTATTAAGGTTGATATCCAAGTGAGCCTGATGGCAAGTCTCATGAAGATGCTGTGCTTCCATCAGGCCATCTAATGTTGCTGCTAGGCCTAATATCTACTTGTAAAGGTAATGAGCATCAGGCACTGGTGCTGATGGAGGCTGCAGCCTGGGGATGTCAGCCACAGTGACCTAGAATTATTCATCCTTCAATAAGTCAATCAGCCAACCAGCCAACAAGCATTTTAAGCATCAATTATGTACCAGGTACTGTTCTGGGCACCAGGAATACAAAGACAAAAATGAAGACAGTGCCTGACCTCAAGGAGCTTACTTTTTATAAAAGGAAACAAAATTTACACAAGGTAAGTGGAGAGGAGAGAGGCACTAGTAACTGAGGTAACCAGAAAGATCTCATGTGGATGGTACTTGAGCTGAGCTTTGAAAAAAAACCTCGGGGTTCTAAGAGGCAGATATGAGAAGGGGTAGATTCCAACCCGTGAAAAGATACAAAAACCTTCAGGAAACAAATATGAAGCACCTTCTACGCAGAGCACCTCATTAATTCACTCCCTCATTTGTTCATAGTACAAGAGATAGCCTGATACCATATAGGGATGATGTCAGATTCAGGAAAATTTTGGTTCTACTCCCTTATCTGATACATATACTAGATTAGAGATGATGCATATCTAACTTCCCTTAACTTCTCATTGCCCCAGGCAAATCTTTAAAAATATAAATTTCTCCTGTTGTCCATCTTCATTGGTGTGGGGGTGGGGCTTTCTACACTTAAAGTTCCGTACCAAGATGAAACCACAAGTTTGGATTCCATCGGGCCCCACTCCCCCCACCAAGATTATATCATGCACTGTGATGAGGCAGAATTGGTTGTGAGCAAATTCTCATGTTCTAGCTAAACTCACTCTCAGCTATTTATAAGCCTGGATCTCTGATTAAGGGTAGAGAAGCTGTCATCACAGTTTCACTCCCCTCCTTCCCCCTACATGACTGTTTGTTCAGGACACAGAAAGCTCATTGTCCAGGCATTCCCAATTCTCTTTGACAGTCCCAGACACTTGCCATGTCAGTCTGGCAGCCGATTGGGCTGCCAGGATTATAGGCCCCCAAGCTTTGTTTTTTAGGAACAGTTTTGGGCAGATGACCAAAGCCAGTAACAGAGAGAAGCAAACACCTAGAAGTACCAACAATTAGTACTTAATAATGTTCAAAGTATCCTACATATGATCTGTCATATGACCCTCACAAAAATTCTCACAACAGCTGTTGTTATACCCATTTAACAGATGTGGCTACTAAGTCTCTGAAAGTTTAAGTGATGGGTAAACATGAAAGAGAAACCATAAGGGATGCAATAAAGTTAAACTGTTTATATTCCCATATGGGAGGATTATACATATAACTCCTGAGAATTTTATCATTAATAAAAAGAAGTCTACATAATTAGAGGAAGTTAGAAGTTAGTTAGAACTTAGAAGAAGTTAGAAAAAGTTTACATAGAAGGAGGGCATGAGTATGAATCTATTATGTTGGGATGATTTCCCCCCTTCCAAAATGAAAAGTTGAGAAAGAAGGAGGGGGGAAGGGAGAGGTAGAATGGGGAAAATTTTCTCACATAAAAGAGGTGTTCAAGGAAGAGGTTTGTAGTAGAGGGGGCGAAAGGGGGATGGACAGTGCTTGAACCTCACTCTCACTGAAATTGGTTTAAAGAGGAAAGAATATATATATATATATACACACTCAGTTGGGTTTAGAAATTTATCTTACCTAATAGGAAAATAAGGGGTAAGGAGAAAAGAGATGTTGGATGGGGGAATAAAAGGGAGGGTAGATTAAGTGAGGCTGTGATCAGAAGCAAAACAGGCTTTTGAGGAGGGATGGCATAAAAATAGAGAGAGGAGGATAAACAGAAGAAAATAGAATGGAGGGAAATATACAGTTAATAATTATAACTCTGAATGTGAATGGAATGAACCCACCATAAAACAGAAGCAGATAGCAGAATGGATTAGAAACCAGAATCTAACAATATGTTGTATTTAAGAGACACACTTGAAACAGAAAGACGTATGCAGAGTTAAAATAAAAGGCTAGAGCAGAATCTATTATGCTTTAGCTGAAGTAAAAAAGGCAGGGGTAGCAATCATGATCTCAGACAAAACAAAAGCAAAACCAGACCTAATTAAAAGCATAATCAGGGAAAATACATTTTGCTCAAAGGTACCACAGGCAATGAAGTGATATCAATAGTTTTTACAGCATTTCTCTGATAGTTCTCATTTCTCAAATGTACATATACATATATGTATGTATATAAGTAATTGAGTCAGATTTATAAAAATGAATCATTCCCCAATTGATAAATGGTTAAAGGATACAAACAGGCAATTTTCAGAAGAAGAAATTAAAGCTATCTATAGTCATATGAAAAAATGCTTTAAATCACTATTGATTAGAGAAATGCAAATTAGAACAACTCTGAGGTACCATCTCACACCTTTCAAAAATAACAAATGCTGGAATGGATGAGGGAAAATAGGTACATTGATAAACTTTTGGTAAAGTTGTGAGCTGGTCCAACTATCCTGGGGAACGATTTGAAACTATGTCCAAAGGGTTATAAAACTTTGCATATCCTTTGACCACTACTACGTCTGTACCCCAAAGAGATCAAAGAAAAAGGAAAAGGACCTATATATTCAAAAATATTTATAGCAGCTCTTTTTGAAGTGGCAAAGAATTAGAAGCTGAGGGGATGCTCATCAATTGGGGAATGGCTGAACAAGCTATGGCATATAATTATGATGGAATACTGCAGTCTTTTAAGAAATGATGAGGGCATGGTTTGAAAAAACAGCAACATGGTAAGACTTACATGAACTGCTGCAAAGTGAAATGAGAACAGGGAAATCATTGTGCAGAATAACATCAATGTTGTAATGATGATCAACTGGGAAAGACTTGGTCAATCTGATCAATGCAATGAACCCAGATAATTCAAAGATGGCAGGATGAAAAATGCCATCCACCTCCAAAGAGAGAGAACTGATGAATTCAGTGCAAATTGAAGTAGAAATTTTCTTACTTTCTTTTTGTTTTTGCAATATTACTAATATGGAAATATGTTTTGCATAATTTCACATGTATAATTGATATCATTTTGCTTGCCTTCTAAGCTGGTAGGGGAAGAGTATGAGGGAGAGAGAGAGTTTGGAACTAATTTAAAAAGAAAAGAATGTTAAAAATTAATAAATAATAATTTTGGGGGGGAAAGAAAGAAAAGATATGAAGAGTAGAATGGTTGCAGCAATGGCTTTAGAAAAATCTGAGACTCATACGAACTGATGCAAAGTGAAGTGAGCAGAACCAGGAGAGCATTGTAGGCAGTAACAGTGATATTATAATGATAATCAACTGTAAAAGACTTAGCTAATCTGATCAAGACGTGATTCAAGACAATTCCAAAGGACCTATGATGAAAAATGCTATCCACCTCCGAGAGAGAACTGATGAAATCTGAATGCACACTGAAGCATACTTTTTCTCTTTATTTTTCTTGCTTTTTTGTATGTCTTTTTACAACATGCCTAATATGGAATTATGTTTTGCATAACTTCACATGTATAATTTATATCATGTTACTTACCTTCTCAATAGGTTGGGGTAGGGGTGGGAGGAAGGGAGAGAATTTGGAATTCAAAATTTTTAAAAAATGAATGTTAAATTTTTTAATGTATATTGGAAAACATTTAATGAAATAAAAATAAAACGGAAAAATTAGCTACAAAAAGTTAGTTACTTTATAAATAACTGTAATAACAATAGCTAGCATTTATATTTTATACTCTCTGCTGGTAGCCCAGTGCCCATTGACTGGGATTTTGGAACATGAACTTTTAAGCCATTTAAGCCCTGGTCCCTAGAGACTTAGGGTCTGCAAATGACATGATCTCTCAGGATACCTTCATCCTTGTATTAGCCATCTTTAAACATAGTGATTCAGGAGTCTTATGTGGTTATTTTTGAAATGGAGGTGGGGGATGAGTAGTGTATATTTGGAGGAATTGAAGGTGTAAGGCTAGTGGCTAGCATCTAGGTCCCATTTCTTTATTTAGCCAACTTGTTTAGGGAATAGAAAACCACTGTTAACTCAGTTGATTGGTTACCAGTGCATGGATGTTTTGCTTTTCACAGCAGGGTAGACTAAGCTATCTATTGGAGAACTCTCATCAGGCTATTGGAAGAAGGGCTTGAGGTCAGTCTTTCCCAAACAGTTTAAGGCAAGGTTGTATGGAGAAATACAAAGATTTTTTGAAGCCTAATGGGAGTCATATTTTGGGGTGTCTGAGAATGTTGCTTAGTTAATAAGCCTTCTTCAGTGCACACCAAGATGCCCCCACAGAGCATATGCATAAACCCAAGTTTGGAGTATATTCTAGGACAAAAAACTTTTGACCACTGTCCCTTTCTCTCATTCCCTCTTTCACTTTTCCCTCCTCCTTCATGTCATGGATAATCAGAACTTTCTCTAAGGAGGCCAGAGACAACAGGAGCTCAAGTAACAGTTTGGAGCCAAAGAGATCAGAAATAGCAGCCCTGATATTATCAGAGTAGTAGAGGAAACCATTTCTTCATAAGAGAGTCTGAAGTAAAACTGAGGCCCACAGAGGGGCTTGTGAGGGTCTGGAATCATATAATCTCTGTCAGATCTATGGGTAGTACCTTAAAGATCACCCTGCATTTCACAGAGGAGGGAAAAGAGGCTTAGAAAAAATAAATTATCTAGAGGGTCACACAGAGAGTTAGTGGTCAAGATGAGATTAAGACAAGTTTCCAGATCTAGTTATCTCTTCCCACAACACCACTGCATCAGCATAACATAGTTCATGTGAGAAGCTAAGGACTAGGAGATAGTGAATGGAACTCAGAATGGGGGATGTCTGGCTTGGAAGCAGTTTATATGGGGAAAAGTCTGGGGTTTTTAGTTGGTGACACACTGGGTATGAGTCAGTCATGTGATAGAGCTGCTAAAGCAACTAACATAGGCTGATGATGCATTAATAGAAGTACAGTGTCTTAATCAAAGGAAGCTACAGTCTCACTGTCCATTTTGGTAAGAGCACCCCAGGAGGACTGGGTTCAATCCTGGTGTCACATTTAAGAAAGATTTGGACAAGTTACAGTGTATTCAGTGAAAAATGGTCAAGATGATAAAGTGGCATTATGGGGAAGGGTTGGAGGACCTAGCAATGTTTAGTGGAGAGAACAGAAGAAGAAAAGATAAAGGAGAGACATGATAGCTATTTCTGTCGTAGGGCTATCATATAGAAAAGAGAGGGTTGTTCTGTGCTGTAGTGGATAGAGTATTGGATACAAAGTTAAGAAGATCTGAGTCCAGATCTTGCCTCAAATACTTACTAGCTATATGACCTCTAGGCAAGTCACTTAAGCCTTTATCTGTCTCAGTTTCTTCATCTATAAAGTAGAATAGGACTTCCCTCAGAGAGTTATCATGAGGATCAGATTAATCATATATGTAAAGTGAAATGTAGATGTTAGCTATTGACTATTAATATTCCAATACTCCAGTGGAACTTTGATCTCAGCCATAAGGGAATTCCTTTCAGTTTTGTAGAATTCAACCCATCCACACCCACCCATTTTGCTTGACTCTTGCCCATGTCTCCTCCCATAATTTCAACACCGAGGACACACCTATCATTTTGGGAGGCTTCCTTGAGTTATCTGGACATTACAAGTATACCAGTAAAGTATGTGGGATGTCCATTGGTATTCCTCTTGCTGTGTGGCCTGGCTTTTCTTCTTTTCCCATCATATATTTTATTTCTCTGGCATCCTCCTGTACATTGCTTCTGCTGTGCAATTCCTTGTTTGTGATGTATTTTAACCTGCTTACACCTCCTATGTATCATGTGTTTGGGACCAAGATAAGAAAAAAACAACTTTGAATGACTAGAGCTATTGAGAAATGAAAATGGCCATTTCTAGGAAATAAGGAGAAATATTCAAGTAGAAGGGGTATGCAAGAGGTATAAAGCTGGATTATGTAACTGCTAAAATCCTTTCTGATGCTAATTCCATGACTAAGTTGCTCCTCCAAATCCCATCCTTTCATGGAAGGAATTTTTCCTTCTGAGAAGAAAGGAATCCAATCCTTCTTAATTCTAGTGCTTTTCCTCCATTAATTATCTCCTATTTATCCTGCATATTTCTTTGTATGTTAGCTCTCCCGTTAGATTGTAAGCTCCATGAAGGCAAGGATTGTTTGTTTGTTTGTTTTTGCCTCTTTTTGTATTCCCAGAGCTTAGCACAGTACTTGGCATAAACTAGGGAATTAATAAATGTTTATTGATTAATTGACTGGTTGATTTATAGGGAATTCAGGGCTAAAGTGACTTCCCTGTCTCAAATCCTAGGAGGACACACCTGCTCCATGAGCATCTCCGAGGAGGATTCCTATTTGGCTGAAAAAAGCCAATACATCTTTAGTTGTGCAATAGTCATGGGAAAACAAAGAGCTTGGAAAGAGGGTTTAGTGAAATCACAGTGATAATTAGTTACTATTGTGATTTCAGAGGTAATTTCCATAAACTTATGCTCTCAACTGTGGAGACTCTATCGTTAGAACTTTACCATTACCCAAAGGTTTTAATTCTTGTAAAAGTGAAAATTGTCCCAGAAGCGGAGCCTAAAGCTTTTCGTACAAATAGGTTGTATCAATTCCCTTCAACCAGGGTGGGGAGAGAATGTTCACATCATGACCTAATGATTATCCTTGAGTATAGGCCCTAGTCTATAAGGCTACTGACCTCTGAGTTCAAATTTATCATGATCAGTGTTCAGGCACCTGCAGTTGATTCACTCTAGATTAAAGTATTTAGCTTCCTTTGCCTGGTCTAGTACAAAACCCATAGCCCCATGACATCTACAAGCCATCCAGAACCAGACAATGTCTTGGACCAAATGGGATTCAGTTAACTGTAATGCAACGTTGATTGGCCTAGATATGGCAGTGAAGTAAAGAATGAATCTTCATTGTATTTTAGTACCTAATTATCAGCCCCTCCCCCATTACTTTCCATTTTTTAAATATGTTTATATATGCACATTTGTCTCCTCTAAAAGAATAGAAGTTCCTTGAGGGCAAATAATATTATCTTTTTGTCTTTGTACACTCAGCTCATAACACAGCTATTGGCACAAAGTAAGCACTTAATGAAAGCTTGTTGATTGATCCTTTTTGAATGACTAAGTGTTCTGTTAGTGACTTGCATGCCTTTATCCTCAATAACCTTATATTCAGCTTAGTATATGTGTCTACATTCCTATTCTTTGAATTTCCAGAACCTGTCTAGTTTAGCTATTATCAGTCAGTTATGCCTTAGTGTGAATGAAAGATTTGAAAGTAGAATGTTTTGAAAGAAAGAGAGAGAGAGAGAGAGAAAGAGAGAAACACTGGGCACTGAATCAGTGATTCTCAGAGTTGGAGTGGGGTTGGGATGAAGGCACTGAAAACAAAATTTTCCTTCTTCTCCATTTTGCCTCACCCTGGTCCAGGATCACAGCATTGCAAAACCAGTGGGGTGGGGCAGTGGGGAGAGGAGCATTCAGATATTATAATTCCAAAGAAAAATCCAGCCACATAACTGGCCATGCTTACCAGAAACCTTGGACCACTTATGTGGTGCTTCTTCACTACCTTCTCACAATCTTTGTAGTTAAGCTGCCAACAGAAAGGGAAAAAGCATTGTCATCAGCAGGCAAGAGTTGTCCTTCATTCCCCCTCCTCTGTCTTCAGATCGCCCTAAGAGCCCAACAATGGGGGAAGTAGCTACAGAACCAGACCTCATTCTCTTCCCCAAATGCTAGGGATGTGCACCACTCAGGTCGCTATAAGACACTTTCACTAGCTCTCAAACTTCTGCAATGGGTAGCTCTCCATTGAGATGGTTGGAGGACCAGCCCATGAAGGAAGAGGTTGCTGTCACATTGGTTTATGGATAAAATATTCACATCATTGCCTTACTAGCTGCTTAAGACTGAACCTTCTAGCTGAGCTTTCATGTCCTCAAGGTGTTTACAAATTGTTTCTCTTAAAAACACATGCTTAATCATGTCTCTCAGCTCTGAATTCTGGGGAAAATCAAATTCTTCTACTTATTACCATCAGTGACTGAAGGATCTTTGCATAGTGCTGGTTTAGACACTGATGACTTTAATTCAAGAGATATAAATGGAGAGCCCTACCAACCGGAGTCCAGAAAACAAAAATCTCTCTCCCATTGAGTTCCATTCAGAAAAAAATGCATAAAAGGGTTTTGAAAATTTGAGCCTACCCTTTCTCCCGTTTTATTGATTGGGAAGATAAGGACCAGAAAGTGAAGGTTGTCCAGTGTCACACAGCAAGTTATGGATAGAGTTGGAGGTCAGATCTCCTAGTTCCTGATCTAGTGCTTATGAACCACTCTGGGCTTAGAAGTCATTTTGCTTCCACTTTCTCCAGTGAAAGTCAATTAGAAAATACAGAGCTCCTGCCCAACAAGCTTTGTTGGGATAGAATGGGTAAGAAGGGGGATTGCCAAGAAATAGAAGATGTAGGCACAGCTTTGAAGTCTACTATTCAGTTGGGAGAGCAAAACTAAGCTGATGAAACAATTGAACAGGAACATGAAAGCTCCTCCATTTCCTTGACCTTCTTGGGCCTCCTATCTAGGGAATTAAGGGAGGTGAATAATAACAGTTAACATTTACAGGCAGCTTAATATTTGCAAAGTGCTCTACGTATATTATCTCATTTGATGATTAACACATTTCTCTTCTGAGGGGGGAGCCAGAGGAGGTCTTTGGCTGGCTGCTTCATTAGGAAATGTTGCTTCCCCTCCTCTCTCCTCCTCTCCCCTCCATGATTAAAACAACCCAGGTTCTACCATCTCATCCCTTTAATAACTCCACTGACTCCAGGATTACTCCCAGCCCTTGAACCTGAAGCCTGGTTTGAATATTACTTGGTTCTCGTTGTCACTTGACTTTGGCCTCTGGGCATGGGAGGTTGCCATATTTTGGAAGGTCAGAGTCACCAGTAGGTGTTGCCAGTACATTCTCTGGTCCCTGGAGTTAGACTTCCCCCACCCAAGTTATGCACTTCTCTGGCTTTACCTGGCCCCATCAATCTTTCATTCCCTTATAGAGAAAACTAAAGACCATTGTTTATTAGAAGCCTGGACTAGGACTCAGGAAACCTGCATCATAGAACCTATTTTGCCACTAATGAACTCTGTGGCTTTATACAAGTCATCTACTCTCCTCTTTGGGCCTCAGTTTCCTCATTTGTCAAATGAGGACATTGAACAGGATGATCCCTTTGGACTCTGACATGTAAGAATTCTACTCTGTCCCATTCATAATTTGTAAAGTCTTCAATTCAGAAGAGGATCGGGGTACTTTAGAAAGCATCCCCTTGCATTGACATTTGTATGATGTCAAATCAAATAGAAGATAGGAAAAAATGGGTGGCCAGGGATTTCTCAGAAATCAGATCTAGTCCAAATTCAAAATCCAAGGAGAAAAGGACCCTGTGACTTCTTGATTGATTGTCTTAAAAGCCCGACCATGGTCATCTGGGTAATCCTTCACTTTTTCCACACTGGAAACAGTTCTCACTCTTCTGCACTCCGGGGGAAAGATCCTTCTACTAAAAAGGGGAAAAAAAAAGCTTACCTTCTTGAAGTAATCGGCCAGCTCATCAGGACCCCAGGCCAGGACCTCGGACCGGTAGGGTACATTACTCAAAGCCATTTCTGTCTATCTCTTTGGAAGACCCTCACACTCAGGCCATGAGTGGGACACCCACTGACAGAGACAGTGGTGAAAGTCAGCGATTCTGAGTTTCCAGCAGCACCTAGAACTCCTTCATAGGACAAGACAATTTGGTGCCTGCATTACAAGGCAGTTGTAGCCCAGACTCCAACGGCTTCCTCTACGAACAAATATGGTCTCTTCTCAGAAAACCAGCTAGCTCGTTTCCTTTACCACTTCCTTTGCTGGGTTCTAAATAAGTAAACAAGGAAGTTCGGCTGGGGGGGGGAGGCGGGGGTATTGAAATTTGGAACATACATTCATCTTCTTGCCTGGTAATTTCCTAAGGGGCTAGAAAGAGTCCCAGCTGGGATTCTTGTCTCCCCAGCCTGGATGGGAGGGGCAATTAAAAGGACTAAACCTTTAAACATATTTTTAAATGCCAAGTTGATTGAATATTTTTCTGATAAAACTAAGGCATATGTATGTATACGTGAACAGAGAGCAGTCAATAATCATCTACTAAAGGGCTTACTCTGTGCCAGGCACTGTGCCAACTTCTGAGAATACAGAGAAAATCAAAAAACACAGATATAGACTTAATAGCACATGCTTAAGGACATTTGCACACATATGGCCCTTCTAGGCAATGGCTTGTTAGATATAATCTATTCTGAGAATTTACCTGAAATAGCGATAGATTCAATAAATCTGTAGGGAATGTTATTTGTTTGTTTTTTAATGATTTCTGTTTTTCTCCAAAGATTTATCAAAAGAACATGCCACCCATAATAACTTGAGATTCCTTTGACTCGTGAGAGGTGATAATCAATCAATCAATGAGGGTTTATTAATTACTTATTATGTGCCAGGTACTGCACTAAGAGCTGACAAGAGTTATCTTTTTAAGGGAATTGTGGGAAGATGGTGGAATAAAGCAAGAAACTACCCAATAATTTGAGCTCTCCCAAATTCCCCTACAAATAACTTAAAATAGTGCCTCAAAGTAAATTTTAGAGCAACAGAAATACTTAAAAGTCAGGATAAAGCAGTCATCCAGCATAAGACAACTTGGGAAGGCTTTAGGAAAGATCTTACCTCCCAGGTTGGTGATCGGACCTGATTGAAGTGCAGATACCCACAGGGCAGATGCTGCTGATCAGCTAACAGCAAGACCTTGGAACAGCTGTATAGGTGGCTGCCTTAGCTCCAGGAGCTTTCACCCCATAAACAGTGTTTGGGTAACTGATCAGGGCAAGATCGCAGGAGCCCTTCTCTGGATCTGGCATTGGGATGCTGACCAGATGTAGGCCCAGGCTGTGGCTGCTTGCAAGGAAAAGCTAACACACGTTGGTGTCAGGGGTCGTAGAGGGGAAGGACCCTGCTGTTTGTACTCAATTGAAGAAGAGAAGAGTCCCTGGTTTCAGTTCCAGGACAAAGGGGTGAGCTGAGGCTTTCAACTTCCTGGAGGATTGCAGGGAGCAGGGAATTTGGAGTGGTGGCAATGGTGGGGGGTCCTGATCAAGGCTCAGGGGCAGAGAGGAATACCTGAGGTCACTTACAGACCAAGGTGTGAGCCAGAGGAGGAATGGCAACACTTGGCCTTGGATTATCAAACTTTGCAAGAACCAAGAGGTCAACTACAACTCAGAAACATATATACAAAATATACAACAAAAAAGATACAACAGCACAAAAACCTGAAGTCTAAAAAACAAGCAAACAAAAAAACCTGAAGCCTGGCATATTATCCCCATACCCCAGGAACAGAGCCTGACTCTAACATAAAGTTAACAGTAAAAAACAGTCCATTAAAAATGAGTTAAAAAAGGAAAACAGCAGAGAAAGAACCAGACCATAGATTCCTACTATGGTGGTAGAGAAGATCAGGGTTCAAACCCAGAAGAAAACAAAACAGCTTCCTGTAAAGCTTCAAAGAAAACTGTAAAATGGTCACAAGCCCAAAAATAGTTCTTTGAAGAGCTTAGAATGGATTTTAAAAATCAAATAAGAGAGGTTGAGGGAAAATTTGTAAAAAAAATAAGAATAATGCAAGAAAATCAAGAAAATTATGAAATGAAAGTAAAAAAATTGAAAAAAAAAATCCAAAAACTTACCAAAGAAAATAATTCCTTAAAACTTGGGCAGGGTGGGGGGGGGGAGGGAGAAAGGGAGAAAATTTGTAACCCAAAGTTTTAAAAACACATGTTAAAAAAATAATGATAATAAAAAGAAAAAAAAGAACTCAAAGCTTACAGACCCTCAGAACTAGATCTGAAAACAGCTGTGCAAAAACCTGAAGCTTGGGAAAGTGTGCCCTCCACCCTGGAAGCAGAGCCCTACTTTAACAAAGAGTTAAAAGTCAAGAAATAGGGTGGAAAAATGAGCAAACACCAAGGGAGGAAAGTCTCTTTTTTCTACTCTTCCTGTGAGAAATTATTTTTTCTCTCTGGTATTAATAACTAATTATTGTATTACAATCAAGGTTTTTCCCCTTTTCTACTTCCTCATCCAGAAACCTACAAGTGTGGGGAATCTTTCTTAAAGATTTACCCAACCAGGATGGTTAAGATCTAATCAGACAGTAAAAGAAATCTAAGCTTAAGTTAATGGGTGCATTCTTGCTCATTGTATTTGCTCAGACAGGTCTGGGGAAATGTGGATCCTCTCTTTTGTCAGACAGGTAATATGGAAATTGATGTCTCTTTGACCAATATTCAGGTGATTCAAATCACATACCCCAAGACCCTCCTTGCAATATAGCCCACACTCTCATTCTAATATTCATTTTCTCATTAATTGTTCACCAGTCAGAGTTGATTGCCACCCTGAGGAACACTTATTCTTCCACGGGCATATGAACTGTGAGCCCACCACAATAAAGGGGCTTTGGCCTAAGAGAGACAGCCAAATGACCATCCTTTTATTAGTAAACATGCTGGCCTTATTAATAAAATGATTATATTGCCAAGAAAAAAAAACTTGGGTGAGGGGAAGTTAATAACATCATAAGATATTAAGAAATAATGAAACAAAATGAAAAAATGAAAAAAAAAAGAAGAGAATTTGAACACCTCATTAGAAAAACAAATGACCTGGAAAACAAATTGAGGGTAGCTAATATAAAATTTTTTGACTACCTGAAAGTTCTGATTGTTAAAAAAGAGTCTAGACAATACACTTCAAGAAATTATTAAAGAAGATTGCCCTGAATTTCTGGAATTAAAGGGTAAAATAGAAATTGAAAAAAATCCACCAATCATCAACTCAAAGAGATCCCAAAATGAAAACTCACAGGAACATTAAAGTTAAGTTGCAAAGATCCCAGGTCAAGAAGAAAATATTACAATCAATTAAGAAGAAAAAAATTAAATACCATAAAGCTACAGTCAGGATAACACAAGATATAGTGGCTTCTACATTTAAAAAACTGAAGGGTGTGGAATATAATGCTCTGAAGAGCAGAGGAGCAGTTTTTCAATCAAGAATAACCTACCTAACAAAACTGAGTATAGACTTGCAAGGAAACAAAAAAAAAGATGTTTAATGAACAAAAGGACTTTCAGGTATTCTTGAGGAAAAGACCAGAACTGAACAGATAATTTGAGTACAAGAATCAGGAGAAACATGAGAAAATGAACATGAAAGACTAAGTATAAGGGATTTAATAAGGTTAAACTGTTTACTTCTTATAAGGGAAAAGGATATTTGTAACTCTGAAGAATTATAATTACTAGAGTAATTCAAAAGAGTATATATAGATTGATGGCTTGGGATTGAGTTATTACTATGATGATGGGATGATAATAAAAAAAAAAATAAATTGGGGACAGCTAGGTGGCACAGTGGATAGAGCACCAGCCCTGAAGTCAGGAGGACCTGAGTTCAAATCTGATCTCAGACACTTGACACTAGCTGTGTGACCCTGGGCAAGTCACTTAACTTTGATTGCCTCACCAAAAAAATAAATAAATTGAATAGGGAGAGGTAGAATGGAGCAAATCATCTCATACAAAAAAGTTATGAATAGAAGAACTGTTACAGTAGATGGGAGGATAGGGTGGAGGGCAAATAATGTGGGAGCCTTATTCTCATTGGAACTGGGTTAAAGAAGGAATAGTATACATTTAGTAGGGTATTAAAGCTTTCTTAACTTATAGAGAAATAGGAGTGCAAAGTGGTAGAACAAGGGAGGGAATCTTAGAAGGGAGTGTGTATTAAGAAATAGGAGGGTAAGGGGATAGGATAAGGGACAGACATTTAGAAGGGTGTGTGGATTAGGGAGGTACAGGTCAGAAGTAAATTAGCTTTCTGAGGAGGAATAGGGTAAAGAGAGAGAGAAAGAGAAGGATAAATAGTGAGGAAAATAGTATAGAGGGAAATACACAATTAGTAATTATAACTTTTATTGTGCATGGGATGAATTCACCTATAAAATGGAAATGGACAGCAGAATGGATAGAAAACCAGAACCTAACAATGTATTGTTTACAGGAAACATTTAAAAATGAGAAACACATAGAATAAAAATAAAGGGCTGGAGTAGAATTTTTTATGCTTCAGCTGATGTAAAAAAAAGCAGGGGTAACAATCATGATCTCAGATAAAGTTAAAACTAAAACAGATTTAATTAAAAAAGATAAGCATAAAAAACACAAAAAAGAAATAAGCATGGAAACTACATTATGTTAACAGGTACCACAGATAATGAAGTAATAGCAATACTAAACATATATGCACCAAATTCTTATAGCATTCAGTTTTTTAAAGGAAAAGGTAGTTGAATTACAGGTGTAGATAGATAGCAAAACTATAATAGTGGGGGATTTCAACCTTGCCTTCTCAGAGCTAGATAAATCTAACAAAAAAAATAAGAAAGAAGTCAAGGAGATGAATAGAATCTTAGATAAGCTAGATATGATAGAACTCTGGAGAGAACTGAATGGGGATAGAAAGGACTATACTTTTTCTCAATAGTACATGGAATCTTTATAAAAATTGACCATATATTAGAATATAAATAAAAAGCATAAAACTTTAAGAGTTAAATGCAGAAAAGTAGAAATATTAAATACATCATTTTCAAATCATAATGGAATAAAAATTCCTTGTAATGAAGGACCAAGGAAACATAGATTAAAAATTAATTGGAGAGGTCTTCTCCTCCCAGATTGATTTTGTTTGTTTGTTTCAACTATGTAAAAAAAGGTCATTTT